AAAAAAAAAAAAGTGACGGCGTCTCCGACATTGTTGAAAAATGCTGCACGAAAAGCTTTGCTCGCTGCTAGACGTGTGATCATCAAGAAGAGTCCGATGAGTGTACCTCGCATACTAAATATCCCGAAAAGCGGAGGAGTGTTGCCGTTAATTCGAATTTTTGCCGGTTTGTCAGCACTAGGAGCACTAGCTGGCGGAGCTGCAAACGTAGTAAAGGTTGCAAGTGAATTCAATCACAATGGACGGACTGGTGTTAAAGTGGGTTACCGGATCGAGAAGAAGAAGAAACCACAAAAAAGTCGTTAAAAACAGAGAGTGAAAAAAAACTAATTCCGCTGTATACGACAATGAAATAGAGCATTTCGCTCGTTGTGTGTTCGATCTGTAGTATAATTATTAACACATGTACTAAATATCACATATATTTGAATAAAGCCAAAAATCATCTAAGGAATGTTTCCCTTTTAGGGTAATAAAAATAACTATTTATCAACACATGTTTCAAACCAGTCCCCTACAATTCATTAACTACGCCCACGGCAGGGTTTCTATCACAATTAACCAATCACAAATAATTATCTAACATCTTAGGAATTTCAATAGAGATCGCTGGCTTACTTCATCCGGCGTATAAAAAGNTAGGAATTTCAATAGAGATCGCTGGCTTACTTCATTCGGCGTATAAAAAGCCATTTTTCTCGTAAAAAGGGACTCTCTCGACTCTCTCTTGACTCTCTCAACTCTCTCTCGACTCTCGCCTTTTCTTTTGGACTTCTTTTGACGATCTTCTGGACAGCCTCAAATGTGCCGAAAAGAGTGAAGAAGCGTAATTTTATTTATTTATACATAGTTTGTAATATATGAAAATTTTAAATATTATTGTGCCCTTCATTTCTGGACAGCCTCAAATGTGCCGAAAAGAGTGAAGAAGCGTAATTTTATTTATACAGGCATAATAGCCTTATACATTATCGTATATTCATAATAAAGCTTATTGTGCCCTACATTTATGAACAGCCTTAAATGTGCCGAACTAAATGAAGAAGCATAATTTGTGATTAGAATTAACTAGTTTTAGTAGTAGTACTTTATGCCTGTGTACCCGACAGCCTTAAGGGACTATGCCAATTACCTTTCGGTAACGTGTAGGCAGTTGAGGTACAGAGTAATACTAAACTTATAAAAGAGTATTTTTGAAGTGCTCTATATCCGTCGACAAGCCAGTTCTAGAGCTAGTAGTCCGGGTAAAGTTCTTCATAAAATATATAGTCCGTAAGATAGGAAACTACACCTTGGAAATATTCTCTGCGTGTGTACCCGCCAGCCATAAAAGACTATGCCAATTACCTTTCGGTAACGTGTAGGCAGTTGACGTAAAGTATAACAAAAGGTGTATTGAAATAATATTTTAAATATATTAACGAGGTAACTGTGTCCGCGCCAGCCAAGGCTTTACGCTGAGAAACGCTGGGCCACCACAGTCTTGTTAATTATATTTTGAATATAGATAGACATATTCTTATAATTATATTTTGACTAGTTCAGAGTAAATTTTAAGAATATCGATATCGACTGTAGGGAATTCATCGAAAATATTATTAGTAAAAACATAGTATAATATAAAAGGAATTTAAAATAAAAGAAAGTGATAAAATTATAATAGACGCAGGTCCCATTGTAGAGAATCCCCTTTTTTAAGTCTTATATACACAGAGATACTAATTTATCGAAATAAACGCAAGACAGTATAAACGACAGTTAACACTGAAAGAAGAAATCACCATAAAACCAACACAATCAATTACTAAAGGAAATAAAGGTAAGTGCGAATATTTATTTGAATGTCTTACTTCTAAAAAAAAATCACGTAATAAACAAAAAAATAGGAATAAATGAGGTAGGTATATTTTATTATTTAATAAATAAATAAAGTTCGACCCCGAGATACGACTCTATTCTTTCGTTCTTCCCCTCACCTCCATTACATAGCTTAGCTTGTTTTTTGTTTATTACAGATCCACGTGTATTTCATGGTGTATTTTGTCGTGACACATTACCACGTGCACAACCACATAGAAATGAAATGGGCGTGATTAATCTGGACGTATCGAGAAATAGCAGAACACATTGGATAGCATACAGTAAACGTGGTGAACAGGTTACGTACTTTGATAGTTTTGGTAATTTACCGCCGCCATTGGAAGTGTTACGGTATTTTAACGGCTGTAAAATTACATACAACTATAGAAACTATCAGAATTTCGACGAAACAAATTGTAGACACTTGTGTTTAAAATTTCTTATAGAACAAAAAAAATGTCATCGAACACAAAGCCGTCATCGGTAACCGTGACCGGTTGGGGATCACAAATTGAATGCCGATTTCATCCACACATTAACGTTGACGATAACTGTGAAATTGGGCTGTTGAGCTTACACACTTGGAACACAATGTCAAACATTGATAAAACTAACAATATAATCGTTTNCCAAACATTGATAAAACTAACAATATAATCGTTTTTGGATTGCCCGGTCAGGAACCCTTGCTGAAAGTAACACTGCCC